GTTTTGCATCGGCCCATCTCTCAAGCCTGTCAAGGTCCCTCTGGATGGCACAACCCTTCCCTCCAGGGTGTCAACTACCCCACACAGCTTGATGTTGTCAGCAAACTCTCTGAGGGTGCACTCAATCCCACTCTCCATGTCGCCAACAAAGACATCGGACAGTATTGGCCTCAGCACTGATCCCTGAGGGACACCAATCATCACTGGCCTCCATGTGGACAATGAGTTGCTGACCACAACTCTCTGTGTGTGACCGTCCAGCCAGTTCTCTATCCACCAAGGGCTCTACCCATCAAATCCATGTGTCTCCAATGTAGAGACAAGGATGTTGTGTGAGAGTGTCAAATGCCTTGCATAAGTCCAGGTAGATGGTATCAGTTGCTCTGTCCCTATCCACAAATGCTGTGGCCCCATCATAGAAGGCCACCAGATTCATCAGGCATGACTTGCCCCTGGTAAAGCCATGTTGGTTATTACCAATCACCTCTTCGCTTTTCATGTGCCTAAGCAGAGCTTCCAGGAGAGTCTGCTCCATGATCTTGCCAGGCACAGAGGGGAGACTGACTGGGCGATAGTTCCCTGGTTCTTCTGCTCTCCCCTTTCTAAAAATGGGGGTTATGATTCCCTTTTTTCAATCGTTGGGGACTTCATCTGATTGCCGCGAGTTCTTAAAAATTATAGATAGTGGCTTAGCAACTTCATCAGCCAGTTCTTTCGGGACCCAAGGGTGAATCTCATCAGGACCCATGGATTTATGCACATTCAGGTTCCTGAGATGGTCTTGAACCTGATCCTCCTCTATAGTGGGTTTAGGGGTTTCATTCTCCCAGTCTCCACCTTCACCCTTCTCAGTCTGGTCAGAATGGCTAGAGCACTTGGAGTTGAAGACTGAGGAAAAGAAGTCATTAAGAACCTCAGACATTTCTATATCCAGGGTAGCCAGTTCTCCTGTTTCCTTCCAGAGAGGGCCCACATTATCCCTAGCCTTCCTTTAACATGAGGCATAGCTGTAGAAGCCTTTATTGTTATCCTTAATGTCCCTGGCTAGCCTCAATCCCAATTGTAATCATAGTTTAATCCTGATTATATCCTAAAATTAATAACTGTACTTTTTTTTCCCCCTCTGCTGCATAGACCTGCTGGGTCACTAAGAAGACACTGCTGAGAAGCAGGAGATGATCCTGTGTATGCCCTGTAGCTGCCCAGCATGTGTGACAACCCAGGCAGGAATCATAGGGGCTGCACACTGACATAGTACTTGCAGAAGGTTTGTTTGGGTTTTACCTCTGTTCTGGCAAACCAAATCAAGTATACTAAGTAATACCAAAACTTTTGGGTTTTTACTGTGCATTTGAACAGAATTAGTTCAATATGTGCTGAACATATAAAATCCTGTACACTCCAAACTCACCCATTATCTCTTACTGAGTCTGGTAATTTCCAGCTGGTAGAATGTTACTTCTACTATTGTATTTAATTTTGCATAAATTATCATAGTTGAGCAGTTATGCAAATAAGCTTATACACTGCTTGAAGTCTTTAGCAATTTTAAAAAACCAAGCACCAAACCAAACCTTATTCTGAATCTGTAGAGACAAGATTCCAGGTAATACTGAAACTATTTCAGCCAATCTCAAGTAGTATTTTGGCTACTTACACCCTAACATAGACAGCACTTGTCATTGGTTTCTAATGGTTTGTGACCAAATCAAGATAATTAACAATGTGCATGACACTGGAGTTACAGGAGAGAGGGGCACGTGCTGCACTCATGGGGTCAGCCAGGCAGCCCCTGGTTCTGTCATGGGGAGCTGCACCACACAGAGCAAATCCAGCATTGCAGAGAGGTGAGTATGCTCATGGACTAAAATCTACAAGTGTTTGTCAGAAGTTCTGTAAGCATTTGGTATGGTTAGGAGAAGGTAGAAAGAAATACATGTATTATTTTTTTACCAGCACTTATTAAAAAAATGTCTGATGCAAGGCAAGAATGAACAACTACTTCAATTGTTAAGCAGTCTGGTAGGTAAAACATAGTTGCTTTTCTCACCTGTTTTATCTCCTCCTGGACCTTTAGGTTTCTTATCAAAATCTTGATAAACACCAACACTTTCTACAGATCCAGAATCAGACCTTCGAGTAGATTTCTGAGAAGGGGAACATGAAATTATATTTGCACTATTACTTTAGAAATAAAATAACAGCTGTAAATGTAACATGATGGCAGCATAAGCTCTTCTTTTTAATTAGCAACTCCTAGCACATATCTTTTTTCAAGAAGTCTGGTTCATAGAATATTTAGTCACTTTCTTTACAGCTTCAGATCAGCCAACTGCTTTACTTCCTTCACTGCAAGAAAACAAGTCACTGTAATTCCTGAACAGTATGTTGTATTGCTCATTTCAAAATTATTAAAGATATAATGGTTTGGATCCACAGTGGGAAGAAATATTGTGGGAACTGTGGGAAAATGTCCCCTTGGATGTATGTTCATTTGAAAGAGGAAATGGGAATTGCTGTCATACTGGACATGCTGAAGTCATATCTGTGGGTGACATCCATCTTTAGCACATGGAAACAAATTTTGTTTGTGGAAGACCCCAGAGATCAAATTTTAGCAAAAAGAAGATCAAGCTTATGTGTGATGAAAGAGCTGGCACAACAGCTCTCACTGTTTTCAAAGTAAATATCCTGTGAAAGCTTCAGAACACACAGCTCAGAGGAAGTACTGGTGGCTTTTGTGATATATTTTCCTGTTTTATTTCAGAGCCTGTGTTTGAATCTTTATTTGCAGGTCAGCCAGTCATGCTGCAGCAGGAGATGAACAATACAAACTATGGGGCCACTGTTAACTCCAGAAGAGTTTGCTGTGAGTATATATGTCAGATCAATAACAATTGAGAATATCTGGTATATTTCCCCTTGTTTATTTAATTTTAGCATTCAAGTGGAATGCTGAAGTTGAAGATGTAAAAAAGGATTTCAGCATTATGCCACTGTTTCATCAACTAAACAGAAAGGGAGAGAATAATCTTGGCACCACAGAACAAAGCTGGTTTTCAGGAAACCACTCAGCTTTTTAAAAAAATCTTTAAGTGGGATCCCCCTCCCCCATTTCTATTTTACACTATTGATATCTTTGTAAGTCTATGCAGCAAATTAAAATAAAGCTATTTGCATTTCCTCTGTTCCAAACTCGATTCCCCAAAAAAGTGTTACAGAAAAGATGAAGTGAAAACCCCAAGATGCTCTGAAAACATGTAATTACCTGACAAACATCAATAAAGCATACCTGACTAACTTGATTTAAAGCTTCAGCTAGCAACTTCTGGTTTATTCCACATAAGTTTGCCACCTTCTTCTGGCATTTATGATGCACATTCATCCCACATTCTAAAAGAAATGTAAAGATGATTATACAAGCATCAGGAAAATACTGTCTGTCATTACAACAGAAAGGGCTGCTGTTCTGTGCAGTTCAGAAACCTTGTTGTAAGACCAGACTGGCCACAGATCTGTCATTGCTAACAAAATTGCAGTTTTTATCTTTAACATCATGAAGGCTACAAAACCATTTCACGAGGAAAAAAGCTCCAACCATTGTTACTTTGCTCTCAAAATCTGTTACAATAAGGAACATCCTGCCTTTTTGTGGGAGAATTTTAAAATGGTATTTACAGTAAATGCTTTCAATACACTTTTAGGTGCTACCTGAGTCAATTTTACCAAATTTCAGCTATTCCCAAAGCAGTAATTTTGATTATACACAAGATTACACCTCCACAGCATGTTTCTTGACTCCATTAGCAGCTCTTCTTGGCTGAGGTGTCACATGAGCCAAGTGCCTCTTTGTCTCTCTAGTACAAAAGCTTTTTCAACCCAGATGGATGAGGTGAATCCCATTCTACATAACCCACATAGAAACACACAGTGTGTAGCAATAGCCAATCTCTAGCTGGGGCAGAACGCTGGAAAAGCATGGAGAGGTCCCAGCTGCCCTCCCTCCTCCTCCATACCTTCACATTTCAGGCCTTGCTTGACCAGCCCCCAGAGCAGGCTGCCACAGTGGTCACAGAAGGTTGGGCTCATGTAGTTGTAAACTTTGAAGCGATGAGGCATGTCGATGTTGAACCGTTCCTTTTGAAACTGAGCACAGGGAGAGAGGTGAGGCACTCTGCCCACAACAGGACCAACTTCTGACACAAAACTGCTGGCATATCACAAGGCTACAACAATTTTATCTTGAATACCCCAGTTTTACATCACTCATCTAGCAGGGAAAGGATCTACCCATCAACCACCACCTACCCCCTCCCAGGGTTTTTAACTACTTTTCTTGCTTGAAAGCTTTGTCCACTACATGTTACAGACAATCTTAAGCGAAGACAGTTCCTTGGGTTGTACTGCCAAGTATCTCCCAAATGGAGTTGGCAGATTCTGTACAAGGTTTTGTTAGTACCAGAGTGTTTAATTACATAATTGCACCCTAAGTATATTGTTGCAGCTCTTACCATTGTGTCCCTGCTGTTGGCTGCGGTCCCGGTACACCTCCCGATGATTTTATCAATGCATTTCTTATGAATAGCAGCATTGCATTCTTCAGGACATGCGCAAGAAAAAAAAGGATTCCTTCAGATAATAAATACATGGGATGAGGTGTTTGCATTTCATAGCAGAATGTGAACAACACACTCCTTTCCATCATACTGCATACACCAAAAGAGCTTCTTTTCTGTCAATATGATGATCATTTTTAAGCTGATTCCCCACACACGCCCTTTTCCTTTTATCATAAACTTCATTTCTAAACTAAATCAGCTTCCATTAGACAATGCCACAAGCATTTGATAACAGAAGAACAATATTATGCTTCTGAGTTTTACCCTTTGATATCTCCTCCCTGTTTGGAGTAATGAACAGAGATCTATGCTAAGTCAAAAGAGTTTTTCAATTCAGCTGTAAAACGCCTCAATAGCTGTCATTCCTTTTAGAAAAGGTTTCACTAAAACTGCTGTCATAAATGAGTGGAATTTTTCAACAGCATTATACAATTTTGAGAAGAACAGCTAAGTCAAAATCTTGATACTAAAAAACCTAGTAGGAATCACAATTAGATTCCTTCAGTTTTCGTGCAAAACTGATGCTTAACATCTACTACTACCTATGTGCATGGTGCACTGTGCCATGCAGATTTACAGGAGGTATTTTTTTACAACAGTAACATGATTCATGTGGAAAGCAGCAACAAGAAGAGGGTAAAAAAAAAATAAAAATCAACTTACGCCTACATTTGTATCCCTGCTTGTTGAGTCCCCTGAAAAACAAGATACAAAAAAGGAAATCAAAACCATACATTTGCTGGAATAAAAGGTGGGGCCTTTTTTACTCTTATTTTTACCATGTCATCCAATCAATCCTTTGTTTATTGGAATATTTATTCCAATTAATAAAATGGTCTAAATTCTGCTAATCAGAATCCTCTGTTTCAGGAAAGCAAAGTTTAGAAGATAAGGTATTGTGTTTTGATAGACCAGAAACTACAAGGTTTCAATCGTATGGGAAATCCTCCTGATCTAACTTAGGATGAAAACAGCCTTAGTATGAAAGAGATCCAGGTTCTTGTTCTCCGTGGGTCTTTATTCTGCCATCAGCCACTTCACATCTCTAAGTTTAAGCATCATTTTCTCGGATCCACCCATCTTGTTCTCTTGTGGTAGAGATGCTGCTGATCGTGGGCCAGATATCACTTCCGTCAATTATTTCAGTGGCAAAAATGTTCAAGTTCTATTTTAATGTGAAAGATGCAACTATAGTTCTTAGGTATAAAAATGCTCTTAGTAAATATATAATTTCAATTTCCCAACACGTGAATTTACATGTCATATTTTGTCTCAATATACCTGAAGCAAATTTATTTAGTTATTTGGCCCTTGAAGATGGGGAAAGCTTAGTTTTTCCTTCTTACCACACAAAGTCTTTGCAGACAGAGCAAAATGTAGGTTGTCCAAAGAAGGTGGCAATAAATTCATGATTTTTGATGTAGTGGATTTTGGCTTGTTTGATAGCTCCTCTCCTGTTAATAGTTACTGTCCCCTCGTCTTCCTTCATTGACTGTTTGCAGTCTAAGGGGGAGACAAGAAGACATACTTTTAATATTTCAAGGTATTAGAAAGATTAATATTTGCTTCTCCCAAACATTCAGTTTGTTTTTGTCTCTCAGACTTGTGCTTGTTTATTTTACACCTGCATTCTGCAGATTTTCAGTCCAGCAAGGATGGAGCACATGCACACACTGCTTCCTAAGGTGTCTGTGTCCCTGTCTGCAAGCACATCCCATCCCTGCCCATGCAGAAATAGCCTTCAGACAAAGAACTGAAAGAGCAGGAAAGAAGCACAGTTTTGCTACAGAAATGACAACCATAGATGTTTCTTGAAAAAATATGAGTTCCTACATGTCAAATGACTTAAGATAAAATAAACATTTTATTGGAAGCAGCAGGGTCAGCAGAAGCCTTTCCATATGCTGCTGCTCCACATGCCCTCCTCAGCCAGGACTACAACAGAAATGCAGGTGAAGTGCTGCAGGACCTTCTGAATCACCATGAGACCATCCCACTGGAAGATGGTTTCCTTCCAGCTGCCAGGATCATGAAGGACAAATGAGATGTTCAGTTAGACATTTCCATTTTGTTATCTTATAACGTTGATGCTCTATCTGTCAAATTGTCTCAGTCTCATTCCTCTCCCCTCCTAAATCCCGTGAATTTAGAGTATATAGTATTATGTAATACTATGGCAATAATGCTACCTGCTACCATCTACTGTAGCATCCAATACTATAGAAATTACATGTGCTATTAAGCTAAGAAATAAAACCACAAATTCTCAGGCTCTGAGTCCAACTGGCTCATACAGGTCCTCCATTACAGGTTATAGTTGTTTCCATTTCACTTTCACTTCCAAGGAAATTTGGGTTTCTTTTACAAAAATGAGCATTTGTGGCTGTAAAACTGAAACACAAACTCAGATTATATGGTCTTACTTATGCATTTTCAAAATAATAGTAGTTTTTAACAGAGGTAACCCCATGATGGGGTATCAAGAGAGACTGGGTAACTGGTGATTTAACCCTAGGGCACATTTCTTGTCAACAGAGAGGAACTGTTGAGGACAATCCCATCCAGCAGGAAAAGATACAAGCTCAAACTGATAAAGAGGAGCTGATCAGCTTCTAACTCCATCAGCTCTGCCCAGTGGCTCATGGGCCCCAGCCTAGATGAAATGTGGACATGGTTCACAAGTCGATAGCACTGTGAAGCTTTTTAATTTCCTCCATTGCATTGCTGTCTGTTAGCAAAATCAGTGGGAGCCACACTCTCTGCAATGCCTGAGCTTACTACAAAGTTACCCAGGAGCTCTGGTTTTCTGGTCATTTTAGGAGCTGGCTGCCACCACTGCTATTCCAGCAGACTGCCGAACTGGGAATACAATCTATCATTTGACACCATTCTGAGTGTCCTGAACTTATTTATCAGTTATAGCCACCAGCAGCTAGACTGCACCAGCATGTACTGTCTTAGAAAAGAAAGGACAACATCAGCTCAGAGATTAAGGAAAGATTAAGCATATTAGTGAAAAGAAGGTTCAAAAAAGGTCCTTGGGTTTTGCTAACAGGTATTAATGCACTTTTCTGAGAAACTGGCCACCTGGTTCAGAGAAAAAAAACATTCTGTCTCCACCTGAAAGGAGCTCACAGTGTTCACTGTGACACCTCAGCACTGTGTACACCTTTGAGTTACTTCTGTCCCTCCAGGAACAGGATTCATTTTTGCTGTTCAAACAGGCTACTGAATTCACCCAACAAAAACTCTCATCAGCTACTGCACTTCAGCTCGAAGTCTGCTAACAGTACTATCTCTTTGTTTAATCCTGCTAAGCAAATACACAGACATCACCCATCGCTCCTCAAATGCTGCAGGGAAACCACACACTGAAGTGTGCATGCAAGGAAACAAGGTGGTTGAGAGTCAGCGATAGTTCGTATTGTTTGGTGCATGAAGAGGATGTCTTCATAAGGCAGATTTAATCACTAACAGCAACAAAGCAGAGAAAGGCATGTTGCTTTACGGCATGAATTCTGAGGACATCTCCTGTGGTGGAGCAGACTAGCAGGCAAACACCTCCCTAAAGTCTGTAACACAAGCAAACCAAGTGTTTAATGAGGCACTAGCATGTGAAGATGACACAGGTTCTCCTCATGCTGGAATACTTGGAACAATTTAGTATTGCTGATACTGCTTGCAGAAATCTCTGACAAAACCTAATCAAGATATGGGAAACAGTGGTGTTTCCTCCCTGTTTGGAGCACTGACATCAAACTTAAGAGCAATATGTGAGACTTGCATTACTTTTTGAGAGGCTGATTAATAAACTAATCACATTGGGTTTTCTCCTCTTTTTCTTTGCACACTTTTCTTAAACATACTTTAATTGGGACAAATCCTTGAGCACAGCAAAACTTCAAAATCCATATGTGAGAACACACATTCTTCACAGCCAGTTGCCTTATTAAATACCTTTGCCAAAACCAGCCAAGGTATCAAAGTATAGCTGAAAACATGGTTCAGAAGCAGCTGAGAGGTTTGGAGAGCAATTGTAAGTCACGTGCACCTGAAGCTGGGATGGCTCTGAAACTATAGCATAACTAATTTCAATTTACTATGGGCATGTTTAACAAGTTATCTTTAATGTGTAAATTCCCTTTAATGTGTATTGCTCCAGAAAAGTTTTAAGCAGTTTGGCCAACCATCGATTCAACTGGGGAATAAAGGTTTTATTTCAAAGATGCAGAGACAATTAAGGATTGGTGGGAAGTAACTGGCACTACTGTATGGACTCAGGGTGGAGATGGGGGGGAGGGACAAACATAGAGGGAAAAACTTTGCTTTCCCCTCAGGGCAAGCCAGGATTCCCTCAGACAAAATGCTTGTCCTGAACCAGCACATGGTCAGAAAGAGTCATGTACAAAACAGCTGAATCAGCAACTAGAATCCAGGTGACCTCTGCAGTCTGGACTTGAAATTAATCATTTTGGACCCAGCACACACCATTAAACATAATCTATTACTTCTATTGAGAGCTGTGGTTAATATTTATCACTGACATGTTCATGTATCTCAAGGTCTCTTCTCAAAACTTGCAGCTGATCTGACAAAAGCACCAGAACTCCTCCATGCCTTATATTCATTAAGAAACTATTAAGCACAGCTGTGCTTTGACAGTGTAGCTCTCCAGAAGTGCTGGAATCAGATCACTGTACTCACTACTTAGCTGCAGTGCCAGTCCTGAACATTTCACAGTCCTCACAGCCACTAACACAACACCCAACCCATCAGCTCGTTTGGCAAACATTTACTAAAACAGCATTGCTGGGGCTGTGCTGAACTGTAATAAACCTCAAGGTGAGATGTCAAATCGTCTAAATTGAATTTCAAAAGTCCAAGGACAAAAGAAAACAACCTCAGAATAATCCTAGTAGTTTTTTTAAGAGAAAGAATTGAAAAAATATTTACCATCTTCAGAGTTAATTTATTATTTTAACTTGCTCATTTCACGGTGCTGTATGTGAAGAGAGGAAAGATAACAGTGCTACTGTGAGAGACTGGGAACCAGGACTTCAAACAGGGACAGGCAAGGCAGTTGCTGAGCTAACTGACTGCTCAAGTTGAGATTTGCCTGAAACTTTATGATAAATTACAAAACCCACTAACATTTCTGTTCAGTGTCCACTTCTGCCATCCTACAGTCTTGCACTTGGCTTTGTTTGAAAGTGAAGTGAACCTTCAGGTCAAGAAAAATATTAATCTCTCAGAGCAATCATTAAAAGGGAAAGCTTGTTCCTCACAAAGGAGACTTTCCTAGCATGAACTGCCTCAGACAAAAATGACTCTCTAACCTGGCCCTGGAGAAGTTTGCTTTAATGATCATCTATACAAAACCAAACCCCTCAACAAACCATTTGGAAAAATAGAATTTTCCCAAAAGCCTACAATTCTGTAACGTGAACTTTCTATGTTAAATCATTTTAGTCTCTGTGATCATCACAGTGTTTCATTTATAGGCAGAGTATTGATACTGCTATGTTATTTCTCTTTTTTTTTTTTTTAAACTATCTCCTCCATTCTTAGTACTTGTGGATTTTACTCTGCTGGTATTTAAATAGCAAGACCAATAATTTGCTATTGCAGAAGCCAATACTCTTTGCTCTCAAAGTTGGCACATAATCTCAAATTACCTATCTCAGCCCCAAGCAGTTATACTGCAAGCTTTAGGACAAGTGGTCAAAAAAAAAAGCATTACAAATTCTTACACCTTATGAAAATGGATGTGTGCTACATGTGATACTGTACACATCTATAATGTAACACAAACTACTAGTATGTTACCCAGTATGTTACTAGGCCATTACTAGTATGTTCTGCACAGAGACTGGGACACTCATGGGACAGGGACTTCTTGCCTGCTCCTCTAAAGAAGATCACAGAATAGTTCAGGTTGGAAGGCACCTTCAAGATCCTAGTTCCAATGTCCTGCCACAGGCAGGAACACTGTCCACTAGACCAGGTTGTTCAAAGTCCCATCCAGCCTGGCCAGGAACAAATAAATGGATGAAGTCCTGCCTGGCCCCTGAGGCAGCACCTACTGTTGTTCTGACTGACACTTTGTGGAGCACTAAGCGGGGCTGCTCTGCAGCTACTTTAGCTTGTCTCTACTGGACTAGCCTTTCACAGGCATTAATGACGCCAATGGTCTTTTAGAAAAGCACTAAAACAAAACACCAGGGTTTTAACAAGCCCTGCCTTTCAATCCAAGAGAAAAAAATCCCAGGTCCACACTACAGCCTTTGTAGCACTCACACCCTCTGCAGAGCTGCTGTGTGAACACAGTCTGTGCTCAGCTTACACAGGACTTCTTATTTTACAGTTCAGCAAGTGTTTTGGTTAATGCCTCTGCAGAGATACCTGATACCTCATTTGTTGTGGTAAAGCAGGGAATAAACTGGAAAATGGGTTTTCTTTCTTTTTCTTTTTCAAATTACAAAGGCACAGTAAAACCAACCTTTAAAAATACAGCATCTAAGTCAAATTTCTACTGAACATATAAACTACATCAAATTTTCTCTGCCCCACAGAACACATTAGCTACCTTACTAACCACGAACACTGCCAGCTTGGTGTTTATGAAATCACTACATCTACAAATGTCTGTTTTTTTCAAATAAAGTCAGAAAAGAAAGCCAGAAGATGTTTTTATTAAATTCATGCAAGCACACTTATGTGCAGATTAAAGCAGATGCTAGGTACTACTGAATAACTACCATGTCTCCCAAGTTTCTAGAAGCAGTATTTTCTCAATTAAATCATTAAATCATACCACCAACCCCCATGTACAATTATAGGACCCAGTTCTGGTGTTGCAGCTTTCATCATTATTATTTACTAATAGCATGACAATCCTTCCCCAACACAAATCATCCCTAGAGAAACTTCCTTTAAATCTTAATTTAGACCCATTCAATATGCAAATAGGAATGGCAAATATGTTATTTACCCTATGATTTTTCATAGATGCCTCAGAAAAATTCAGAAGTCTCATGCTTCCCCAGCACTCAACACACAAAGAAAAATGTATTCAAAATATATGTAATGATCTGGTTCATGTTCCTCTCCCAGAATCAGATACTTGAGATATCAAAAGTGTACATGCAAATTACTCACCTTCTGGAGCTTCTAATAGCATTTTAAGGAAAGAATTCACTAACCCTTTCTGCAGGAAGCTGAAGCCAGTAAAACAGCAAGTCAGAAATCAAACCCAAGACACAAGCACACTTCCAAAGCTGCTAACACTGCACAAGACACTCAGCAGAGTGAGGTCCTGGGTTTTCTTACTCAGTAAGGTCATTAACTACATTTGAATAAACAAAGTCCCAGCAAAGCATTAAACGTATTGCAATTCCCACCTATTAAAACTAAAGCTGATTTACAGAATTATAACCTAGTTTCAATACTACAACTAGAGAAGGAGGGGCACAAAGAAAACAATATTCTGAAATGGAAATTGAGATCAACACCCTGTTCTCACGTTTCACACCCTAGAAGAAAAACATTTACATTTCCAGCACAAACTTATATTCAAATTACAGGGCAGAAGACAAAAAGGTTCTTTGACAGCTCTAAGTTAGGGCTCTGCAGTCTCTGTTTCACAGGGTCTACAAAGAAAAAAGTGCTCTAAGATTGGGAAGACTTTCCATATGTAGCCCTAAATTAACTGGCCAGGCCCCAGTCTGCAAAAGGAATATAAAAATGAAAAGGCTACCATGGAGGAAACTTTAATACGAGTTTATTCTGTGATTTTTTTTCCCCTCTAATACTGTATCTGTGAACGGAGCAATAACATGCTTATTTCCCAATACTGCTGTGTTCTATCAAGGCACAGAAAAGCAGTTTCTCTAAAGCTGGCAGAATGTTTGCTACTTAGAAAGGAGGTTTGTAAAACAACAGCTACAGTTTGCAAAACAAACCAAAGACAGAATCAGTCACTTTTGCAAAGCACTTGGAGATTTTCAAACAAAAGGTAACACCTATAACTCAAAGCAATACCTTTGAATAAACTAGGGAACAACTGAAACACCAGTTTCAGAACAAGCCTTTTTTAGTACATAAGAAACACAGCCACCATACAGTTCTGTATGGAAAGGCAGATCAGAGAGAAAACAAAGTGGCATGTTCATAGGAAGGAACGTGAACTGTCTCTGAGCTTTCAACAATTAACTAAGGGTTTTAGCAATGTGAAGAACGGAGGTTAATACAAACATCCTTGTAACAAACCTCTAAACTAACAAACCTCTCTGCTCTAATACTGGTAAATGCTAATTTGACTTGAGAAAACATTGACAGCAGTGCAATGATGAGCCAAAAATCATGTGATGTTTGCCTATTTAGCAGTATACGAACACTGACATGAGGAAAGTTTATAATTTTGAGGATGTTAAGATGTATGTTGAAGTGTATTGATATTTGCAGTGTTCACATCAAATTGATTGAGTGACTTTCCTTCACAAAATATAGATGCATGTCTTGAAAGAGTATTTCTACCACCTCTGTGGTTTAGTTACCAAAAAGGTGTCAGTGACTAATTTTCTATAAGCAGAAGGTAAACAGGGAGTCGTTGCAAAGTAGAAGAGCAAAAAAGTACATTAACACGTGAATCTTAAGTTGCCAATTAAAGTATGATTGTATCAATTAATGATCCGTTTGGTATTTAGAATTCATCCACTACCATCTGCAATCCCTAATAAAGGCAATGAAAAGAACTGCAAGAACGTTGTACCTATTTTTAAATCATTTTGATTACTGACTAAGTACAATTATTTTAGTACTTAGAGCACACAAGTATATTACCTTCCTACTGACAGCTAATAGCAAATTATGGAAGGTTTTCACTTATGCCATCTCTACTTTTCCTCACGTTTGTGTGGAGAGGAAGAAATATGCTTCAGCCTTATCAAATAGCTGAGAATACTGAAGCTGGGCTTGTACAGGTTTGGCTGAGAAACTTTCATGTTTCCAGGAGAAATGGATTTCTGTATGTCTCGTTAAATTGGTAACATTCTCATAATGCCACTGCCCCATGACCCTTGCACAGGAAACCATGACAAAGATCAAGACAAATGTTTCCTAATATAATGGCTCACACCAGCTGAAACACAAACCAGAGTATTACCGGTACATAAACACAGAGCTTTGGATCTTTAGACAGACACTCTTACTTACAGACTCTTTAAAGCCATAGTATTTTTAAAAATTTTGCTTTAATGAGTTAACTTTTCATAAAAGAGACAAAAATAACAAGCATATAGGCTGGGTTTTTTTCCTGTCGCAAAGATAAAATGTCAACTCTGAAATGTCATCTACTGCACATCACATTCTATCCTTAGTAGCTTTTCTAGTATCTGCTACACAGATTGCACATATGGTACAAAAAAGTATGGTACCTTCACAATTAATTTGTTCTACAAGTGCAGAACTGTGCTCCCTGTATGTATCTGTGGGGGGAAAACCCACCAATGCTTCAAAACTTCCTGCTTACTCTTTCCATTGCTTATTAAAACACAGTATTAAACTTTATTCAACAGATAGGCTAATATGGTAGGCCAGTTATAACACTATTCCCAAGAAATAATGGTTTCATGACTTCTAATATGAATGAGCTTTAACCACTAGCTAAGCAAGTGATAAGGTTTACAGCATTTCCTTGAGGAAAGAATTCCACAGATACACAAATCCCTGCCAAAACACTTGGTTTTATTACTGTACTTGAAGCTTCCATCCTAGTTTCTTTCCAAGCAGTGTGTGTAGATTTCTGACATAGCCACGTTGTTCACTTTTTAAACCTGTACGTCAGAACACTGACTAGATTTGCATTTACTCATTCACTCATTGCTACAACCAGTTCCCATGATTAGTGAATAAAATGTCTGAATCCCAGGAAATTCAGTTCAATCCAAAAAACAAAAAAGAAAGCGAAGTTTCCCACGTAAGGTAGAACAAGAGATTTAACTTCTTTGCACCTAAAAAGGAACTGATATCTTTTCTCCAAACATGAAATATCAAAACATGAGGACAGACTTATTAAAGACCCAAAAGTGTCTAAAGGCAACAGCATTTACAGACAACAAATGCATTTAGAAATTAATAAATGCAGCCATGATTTCACATAACAAAAAAAGTCCTAGAAAGCAAATTAATAAAATCAGAAAATTCTACTCAGTACACCAAGTGATACTTTTTTGTGAGCTACATACAGTGTTCTACAAAAGGACTGTAAAAATGACACCTTTTTTCACATGCTGACTGAAAATAAACAGTTGACATTACCTGTATCTTCCAAGAAATACTGCACAGCCATCAGCACCTTCCCCTGAGGTTGTAGGTCAAGCTATGGGAAGAAAGATATCAACAGTGAAGTATGTGGTTGACTGAATATCTCAGGAGTTTAAACAGCTCTTTCTAGGGAATCAAAGTAGAATACTCAATAACTATTTGATTACAATCCTCTTCCATATCTCACTGCTGCAGCTGAGTCAGGGGCTTTTATTCTCCTGCTTTTACTACTGTGCTGTATTGCTTTGATGTCTACCCAAAAGTTCAGCACAGTCAGAGTTCATATTGTTTTTGCATGTCGCTTTCCCATTTCTGCAAAGTTTATTGGCTTCTGTTTTAACTCAATTTGTACAGGAACCCAGTTTTAAAAGACAAAGTCTATACAATCCTTTATACGTTTATTGAGTACAAACCATAGAGATATCAAATGCTGCTGCCTGTAATAAAAAACCCAGTGATATAATCTAAATTTGTTTTCCTTTCCCCCTCAAACCATTACATGTGGTTTCTGTGGCAAATTCTACAGACCAGCAAAGAAAAAAAGTGTCTTTTAAGCCAATAGCTGAGGTCAGTTCCTGTACTCAGAATGTGGCCACTAATTCTTAAAACTGCTGCCTTCAAAGGTAAGAAGCTCTTAAGCATGAAAGAGTGATTCAATCTTCAGCATGGAGCAAAGTATCCCTGGGTCAACCCTAAAGACAACTTGGGAGGGAAAAAGAACAACCCCCAAACAAAACCAAACCACAATTAGATTAGATACAGCCATGAACATATCGCCACAAATCCCATCATCCTACTGGGATAATGATTAAGTTTTCATCTTTAAGGCAATGTCTGACACTCAGAACATTTGCCCAAGAAAGTTTACCGAGGGCAAAGACCTCTAGTGCAGCTACTACTGCCAGGCTGTCTCTCCACATACAGAAATAACCTTACAGGCTATGGTAAGTGAACTGACCATGATGGTCTCTCCAAGTTATGACAAGTTGTACACAGGGAGTTTCACACTGACGATGTCTATGTGGTACCTGTTCTGTGATAAGAAGCAGAGGATTTCAGACCGCTGAATTGGCTAAAACTAACCACTAAACCCAAAACTGATCCCTATTAGTTTTAACTCTTCTGAACAATTGTTCTTTTCTCAGAATTCAAGTAAATGCGTGGAAAAAAAAAAATCCAAGTGTAACAGATGAGTAGGAAACAGGGAGATCCTGCTGACCTCGGAAAATATGTAAGCCCCTTAAGTTGAAAAGGCACAGGCAGTCATCTAGCTTGAAAGATAACTAGGTCAGCGATTTTGAGGAATTCATCTTTTCCCTTACCCAGAATTCTGCTTTGCCATTGCCTTTCTTGCAGCGCTCTGCCAGGACCGACACACCCACAGTCACTTCAGAGAGTGGCTCTTCTGCTGCTTTCATGAGCACAATCTGGATCACTCGTCCCTCGTAAATGTGGGCATCAAAAGTTGACTTCCATTCTGGATACATGGTAGGTTTCTTCTGAAGCAGAGTTTTTCCTCTCTCTGAAAGTCACAAAAAAAAGCATAGAAACTGTAAAATGAACATATAGGAACTAACGTAAAATTAATACTTAAGCTCAATGAAACAGAATTCTTGTGCTGAAACCAAAAGCAGACTTACTGCTTCTTTTTCTGTGGTTAGGGCAAAGTTTAAATATTCAGTTCAAACGTTCATGACTTGGAAGGCAAAGCTCACCCTGACAAACAGGCATGCAAAGGCGGTGAAAGTGTCAGCATGAAGCCAGAGACTAAAGGACAAACCCCATTCTGGAATTCAGAAGGTGGTTTATTCAGTCACAACTTTACAGGGAATATTTGCATGGCTCCATTCTGGCATAAATCTCCATGACATATAGTGTAATCATAGTAAATACCTACTTATTACATGATAAATTAAGATAGACCTTACACTGACCCAGTTTAAATCAAAATCAGTGTCTGGAGATGAAAGGCTTCACATTTCATTAATCTATTTCCAAGTTCTCCCAACATTTCACTTCTGTTCATAAGTCATTCTCCTTCATTGTACTCTGCCATGACTGCTGATTTTTAAAGGATATTTTAGAGCTTTATCTGTTCTCTCTAGCACATGCAGACCTTGTATAGTTAAGGAATAAGGAAAAGGCTGAAAAGACCTCAAAGACCTTTTTTTTCTTGTATAAGATTTACCAGTCTCCTGCAAGAGCATATCAGCAGACTCCTTTGTTAGGTGTTTTATAGTGCTTCATTATTCCAGTCAGACGGATTTTTTTCCTTGTTGTCAAGAAAGGTTGGACCAGACAATCCTTGAAGTCCCTTCCAACCTGGTATTCCATGACTCTAACACACAGATTCAGTCTCTCTTGCTACCCATTAAGCTAATTTCTTCCTGTCCATGTCTCAGGTACAGAAAACAGCCAGTGATAGCACAACCTGTAACAAGCTTCAGCATATTTCTAGGTCTGGGTCTCTTAGTCCCATCAACACACCCAAAATGATGCTGCCTCCCAAGCAACCACATCCATCACTTCACTGTGACTCTGGCACAAAATGCCACCTCCTCTGTGATTTGCTGCCAAGCCAAATATTTTCCATTTGTGCTCAGGTACTGAATATAATTTTCTACATTCTACACAATTTCTGCTACTTATCAAGATCATTTGTTAAAAGTGATTTCCAAGTGCCTCTCCAGCTCTGAATGATCCATTTGTTTTTGACATCAAGTTAGTATCAAAGCAGATTAAGTAGTTGGACCCTTCCCCAAGAAGCTGCACTGTGGTCTGTTCTTTACTTAATATTTTAAAACCTTCCTGGAAACTCGAGGCAAAGTCAGTGTTCATTCATTAATAGCTTGCTGGATGCACTCCTCTCAGTTTTGCCTAGCTCTGCAATAGTGTCCTTGTACTGCTTTATTAGGAAATGCCTGCCAACAGCAGCATTGCAAACTCCAGCTCGGACAGCCCTGAGCTGCTTGCCAAAAGGATTCCGAAACACTCAGAAATGGCCACCTGAGCATCTCCTCCATTGCAGAGCCAACTTAAGCATTCATTCTCTACAGGTCAAAAGCTTCTCTTGAACCCAAGGAGCTCCACAGACAGAAAAATTCTTAGCAGTGCAAATCTACTTTCTAGAGGCCTGCACTTAGTATACTTAACTATGGAAAAACCTGGAAATATCATGGTAAGCATATATAAGGACAGCTCAAACAAAACAGAATTTAGAGATTAGGATGGGCAATAAAGGCAAGGGAGCATTAAAAACAGGCTGTCTGCACAGCAAGGCTTTTACACCAGCCTACGTTTTGAATTGCTAAAGCCAGACCCCCCCTTCATCACAAAGGCACACTCCAGGAGGCATCCTTGGGAATGGGAGAAATTGCACCTATTTGCAGAACTCTTGACAATAATTCAGGGTTTGCAGAAACAGCAGCACTTCATAGAAGAGCTGGTAATACTCTTTGTAGGAGTCTTAGAGGGGGAGAGAAATATTTCAGTCTGTTCACAGGACTCTCCCTATTCCCATGTCCCAGTTAATATCTGCTTTAATCAGCCACTATATAAATTTTTACCCTATGTAAAACATAGAGAAGGCAGCTGAATGACTGGCAACAACTTCCAGCCTTGCCATGCCATAATTAAAATCATATTAATCAAGATTTGTCATGGATCACACTGCCTGCCTGCAAATGAACACTTAAGTGTCAGCAAAGAAAAGCCTTTAAAAAGAACACCATTCCTACCCCTCCTGTGTTCAGGCCTCCTTTGCTTCTCTGCTAATGCTACTGGCTGCAAAACATATCACATGTTTGCAAATTGGCTTAATGCCTAATCACTAGGGAAATTATTTTCTTCTTCCTATACAAAAAGCTTTTCCTTGATCATGTTTCAGCATGCACATCCAACAAAAAGCTATTCCAGAACTTGTCAAACTGACAACAGGAGCATTAGATTCTTTTCCTGATTACCCCAATCAGTTACTGTTCCAAGGCTCACTGCCATCTCCTTCCCCATTTTTTAGTACATCAAAGCCACATGGAAGCAAAGAGAAGAAATGCTGGGACAATTCTACTTTTCAAAAGCAAACACCTGGAAAAAAACCCATGGATTTATTTAGATCCCTTTTACCTTTCCACACATTCCAGCAGCTGCAACACTTTGAACACCTTTTTTTTTTCAGAGGTTCTCCCAACAGACTAGGAAACTGATTCTTGGAACTTACTACATTTACTTGATGACACCACTTTCTGGAAAGGGTACCATGCCTTGTATTCAATGTTTAAATGCAGCTTTTACCCTCAGCAATAAGGGGAAAGACCAATCATGTTGTGAGGAAGAAGAAAATTCACCCTTTCCTGCATTCTTTGATGTTTTGTGAAGCCCTAGAGCCACAATCCAGGATTAGACAGCTGCAATCTAATGTAGTACAGCAATTCCCTCTTGTCCTGTTTGACTACAGTGGTGTATTCCAGCTAAATGCCACAAAATGTTCTAAACCACTGAACTGGTTTTTGCGAAGATGTGGTCTTTGAAGGCTGAGGGCCCAGTGAACAGGGAGGTGTTAAAAAGACCTTGGGTACAAGTCATTCCAAGGAAAAAAATCTGCCAAAATGCCTCAGGTACTACAACAATAACAAACTAAACTTTTCAGTATTACCTATCCTCCAAGTCAATAAAGGTCATTTACTACTTTGTGCTTGTGAGGATGGTTCTCTCAAAGCTGCTGGAGTTCAGATCCCTTTTCGTGGCACCCCACAACGCCAACCTCACCCTGAGGAGCTTCTGCAAGCACAGTCTGCACGTGTAGAGCTGGAGAGAACAATGCTTTATTAAGCATTTGCAAAACTCAGTCATGCAAAATTCATAACTCACCTTAACTCATGCCAGTGTGACTTTCCATCTGCTTCCCCATGTATTTTGTGAACAGTTGTGTGTTGGTGCTAAGTAAGGAGTTAGAAGTCTTAGATATCACCCTATTGACTGTTGAGCACTTTGGCCACAGGACAAGAAAGCACTAATAGAAAAGTCTTGTTTTAAATTGGGGGTAGAAAAAACAGCCATTGTTATTCCTCCCACTCTGAAAGAAAAACTCATGTCAAACTGCTTGGCATGACAGGAACAGCAGGACTCACTACCATTTACAGACTAAAAAGAATTATGGTATTTCTCAAAAACTTATTCATATTCAGAAAAACATACCCATTTGTAACCTCACCTGTAGTCAAAGCTTCCTTCATCTTGATAGCACAGAAAGGCTGTAGCTGTTCTCCTTGATTCTGCACAGGTCCCAGCTCAAATGAGTTGAAAGATATCCGTAAGAAGGGAGCCATGGCTCACAGCGATACACAACCTGAGTGTAAGGAAAGAAATAAACATCATGGAATAAAAAAACTTGGTCTGATATTGTAAATAAGCAACACACATTCCTAGGCAGCCATCAGAGCTTCTATTAAAATACTGTTTTCATGTGGCAGTCTACTAATCCCAGGAAGCACCACAGAACTACTGATCCAGCCTGTGAGCCTCCATACCTGCACATATCAGGCAAAGAGAAGAGGGAGAGGCAGAAAAAGTCAGCAAACAGACGTTTCACTACAGTCTTCATTCATTCCTAAGAGCTCCTGAAACTAGAGCAGATTTCAGTTTACAACTCACAGCACTGGCAGCACTGAAGTTAGCCCTGTAGCTTATACATCAATATAGTTCTGTGAAACAAAAGTTACTTATTCAAAGGGTATGAGAAAAGAGTCATTTGATAGCAAGGCAATGCTAGTGCAAAGACAGAATGAGGGACGCAGGGAAGGAAGAATTAGGAGAAAAGAGTTAACAAGGTAATAGGAAGAGATGATAAACAAACCCAAACAAAACCCCCAAACCGGGTTGAGCTTGCCTTTTGACTGTAGATTGTTAAGCAGCTCAGTCAAGTAGCACTAGGAAGAACATTTCAAGCAATCCTGCACATGCTTGCATTTGTTAGAAGACATAAACCTGAGAAACAATTAACATTCCTCTTCTCACTCTTAAGGCCCATACAGCCATTTATATAAAAGACTGAAATCAAGACTCTTTGCAGCAAGCCAGTGAATAGCTCCCAATACCACCATTTGCACATCACACACTCTCCCCGTGGGGAGACCATTTTAAATAAATGGAAAAATTTTATGACCAACA